CGAAGTGACCAACTCTCGTAAACCGCGACCGTCAGCGCTGTTGTGCAGACTATCACCCCAAGCAGCCACCAGCTCCTCCTTGGTGTTTACGCATGCACCATGGGCTCGGATCGGAAGGCTGAGATCCCGAACAATTTTGCAGCAGAATGTGGTACGGGCACTCTAGATCTTCCGTTGTTTGTTATTGGAGTATTTGTTTATTGTTGTATGTTTCCCAATGGAATTGGTCACACATCGCACTTTTTGGCACATTCCCATTGAGAAACAGGTATATCCGTAAATTTGTTGATGGTTTTCTCGATGGTGACCGTGGTTTGTTACTGCGTGTCATCATACAGTGACGTTGAATTTCACGCATGCTACTGCTAGGGAATCATCTGTTTTTTGGTGCTCTTATGATGCTACTACTCTGGATGTACTAAAGTCGTAGTGCCACTCTGCCGCAATTTAGAAGCGCAACACGAGGGCTTTGTTAAACCAGCTTTATGGTGATCGTCGAGCACGAGAGAAATTAGTACGCGACATCGCGTGCTTTTGCCCATGTTTATCAAGTGCGGCCTTTTAATCTGTAGCCATCTCATACGTGTAATTCAGCATCTAAAAAGACTCTCGATAATAAGGATCAGTTTTGAGCGTGTGTTTGTTGCTCGTAAATATGACTGACCACTAGCCTACACACTCAGTTTTTGTAAAAGTAGCAGCGTTTGATAATTTACGATTGCAGGTTTACTGCAGATGTTTGGAAAAAGCGATATATTGCCTAACTCCCGTGTTTTCGCATACTCAGTCAAGCCGAAGCCAATAATAATAGATGCTTTTCCAATTATCCGTCCGTAGTTAACTTGAAAAACTGTTGTCACGTCAGATACACGAAGGCACTAAGCTTACTACTAATAATAAGAAGCCATAGTTTTGGGGGGACTTATTTTCGGTTTATCTCCAGTGATCGCGCAGTGGCTGCTCGACTGTGAGATTGAGCCCGGAGAATGAACCTGCCCGATCTGAGTGCATTTTCACCCGTTGTGAGAAGGTATTCAACACCCCAAGCGGGAACGCTTCAAGTCTCTCAGACGTGTAGTGGCCTACAAACCAGCACGTATAGAAGTGTATGACATGATTCATTTCTTTATATGACCTCAACGGTGTAAATAGGCGTTTTGGCGCGGGAAACCAGATCGCAGCGGTTGATCTGGTATACGTGGATTTGTCCTGCGTTGAAAAAATATGTGCCAATAGGATAGTATCCACTGGGTTGAAGACAAGAATTTTGCGCTGCGTCTCCTTGAAAAAAAGGGGAAAACTGAGATGACAAATTTGCTTTTCACCAAAAATCAGAAGTCGATTGCAAATGGCTCCTTTATCGACATTAGACCCCCCTCGGAGCATACGTCAGAACCAAATGCCAATAGTAAACACAAACAGACATTAAAAAATTCCTAATGAAATTAAATAGTGAAAGTCAAAAAAGCAGCTTCACCCTGTAACTGACACACAACTGTTGTTACAGAGACAATAGAACATTTTGGTCGGCAGTGCGCAGGTACAGATTGTTCAAAACTTCCACGCTACTCTTGTTCTGTTCAGTATACCAATTTCCTTTACTAACTGTCCCCAAGATCTGTCGTATCGTTTAACATCAAGCTTTTTTCCCTATGTTACTAGGGTTGTTCTGGGTGTCTTGGAACGGCTTTTCATCCAGACTTGTGCAAGAAGAAGACTAAATTAGCTGGTCAACGTTATGTTTGCTCACACTAAGTTTGTTCAAGTCAAAACAACTA